GGAAAGAGTCTGGCATAGCAAACAAAACAGGACAACCTTCTTACAGATTTCATACTTACTGTTGTTTGTGGATGAGATATGACAAATTCAAGTCCACCTCCATCGTAGCATTCCCACCCGATAAACTCAGTCCTCATGTCTGTGTCAAACTTTAGTTAAGAACATGTTCAGTGGGTTTGTAATGCAAATTCATAATCCATTGACATATGGTGTGACCAAATGTTAGGAAACAGACATGGGAATGCTTCCAGCAGTGATAATAAGCTTGTGAAGCATTGGGCATTGTTCAGTACTGGAGTAAGATATGTAATAATAATATTCAGCTATGTGTTGCAGTAACAATAAATTCCTACTTATTCAGTTTCTTGCAGTGTAATCTATGCAAATATAATCTGGGGTCTTGAAATCTAAGGGTTTAGATTGGAGTAACTCTATATAGGATTCTGCTATTGGTGCATTAGGATTAAGGACATCCTAAACTTTGATAATGCAAGGTATTTGGGCAAATCATTGTTTTATGTTTATGTAACTAGAACATTGCTTTATTTTAGGGAAGTATGTCCCACAGTTGCCTGCAGAACTAAGTATCTGATTTTAAATATGAAAAAGACAACAGAATAGCAGTAGCTTATAGAGATCATTTGTTTTTTCTCAGCACTTAGTACCATGAGCTTTTAGACTCATAACTATATCAATTGTACTATGGTTTCTTTTTCTAGACCTAGCATGGTCTGGTATACTTATGCTGACTGATGTTTTATTAATGAAAAATTGACTACAGTTCTCCAGACACTATGAGAAAGCCCAGTTGTCTTTTTCAATTAAATGTGCATTGGCCTGTGTGGACCACTTTTTATATGTATGACAAAGAACCACAGATAGGTGAATGTCTCTGCTTGCTGTACAGAGCCAGGCACACATGTTTACAAACAGTTTGCTGCATAACTGTCAAAATGTAATACACGGCAAAGCTTTTCTAATACATAATAGGACATCTTTCCATGCTGCAGCTGTGCTTTTTTCTTTAATGCAGCCCTGCTCCCTTCCCCCTCCCCCTCTTCTAGGTTTTTGATGCCACAAACACTACAAGAGAACGCAGAGAAACCATCTATAAGTTTGGGGAAGAAAATGGGTACAAGGTGAGTTAAGAGCAAAGATAACAGAATTACATAGTGGTGGGATATGCCAATGCTTTTATTCTCAGCACACAAGTCCCACGGTAGCACTAAGTATGTCCATAGCAGTCTTGGGAAAGTGTCTTCTCCACTGAGCTTTGTTAGCTATTAATTTCATATTGTGAAGTTAATGAATAGCTAGCTCCATTTGCTAATGTTGCTCATAGTAACAATTAGCCATAAGTCTTGTAGTCTCTGGCAAAGGAAACACTCTGTTGTCCTAACACTGCTGTCTTGCAGAATTTATAAGTTTTAATTAATTACCCTGTTTAGTTAGTGAATAGGCAGTTATCACATTGTACTGAGTTGTTTATAAGGGTGCTGTTCAGAGTGAAAGAAGTCTGGGGGCATAATTTCATACATCTTCCAAAAAGTACTCCCGCTACACTGCTGAAAGCTATTCTTAGTTAACAAAAAAATCCAGATGTTTAATTACAAATGAAAGTAGTCAGTTTATATCCACCTCTTTCTAGTTTCTACTTGCATGCTGTGCCTTCTTGTCATAACAGAAATCTCTTCCACATGATATTTCATCTTTTGGTTGCTTCTGCTTCATCAGAGCAGACTTCACAGAAGAAAAAATGGGGAGCTGTGTGGATCTCCTGCACTTCCTTCTAATGCCAGCTATGAAAGTACCCATGCATTTTGATCAGTGACTGTATCAGGCCACATCTTGATACCTTCCTGGCTCCCTTGAGATGACTGTCTTTTGTTACCAACTACTATTTAATTAAAACTGTGCTTCTTGGAAATTAGGAAATATATACTTCTCTAAAGGGACAGTCAGTGCTTAGTGGGTTACAAATTTTGTAGTGTGTGTGCGTATGCAGAAATGTGTGTGTTTGGAGCACTAGTCGATAAACTCTCTGTTTTCTCTACCCCCCACCCCGTTATCCATAAATGTAATTCTTGTCCTGTTCAAAGACCTTTTTTGTTGAGTCAGTATGTGTTGATCCAGAAGTCATCGCTGCAAATATTGTGGTAAGTAGTGACTTCTCCTTTTTTTTTTAACAAAAAAGTTTGTGTTGTAATTTTTTTTTAATTATCAGATTTGCAAACTAGTCATGCAATCTCTTTTCTTCCTTCTGCCTCTACATCATCTCCTTTTTATCTCCTCTTTCTCTGTTTTGACTTGGGCAAGCACTGGATGTTTTTCATGTGGGTTACTGTTTTGTGAAAGGCATGCTCCACTTCCTGTTTTTCCCCCCTGGTAGACCTTACACATTGGTAGAGGAACAATGTCTTGCCACACTTGTGCTTGACTAAAGTCTCACAGTGCCATACCTCAGTTTCTTCTTTCTTTGTTTTTAAGGCAGATTTATGACCTTGTACTCATTCACCCAGCCACTGTCATCTGCCTTGAGTTCCTGTAAGGTAGAAAGGCAGCTAGTAAATGTTTTAAATCAATCAATCAATCTCTTAGTTAAAATCTTGATACCTAAAAAAAAAGTACTGGGGACCCAGGCTGCAGTGTGAGAGCCACACAATGCTTTGGATTTCAAGTCTAGATGCCACTTGGCTCCCCTTGGAACAGTCTTTTTAATTTTGAACTGAGTCACATAAAGCTGTGCTGGCTGGAAAACAGGCTGTGTGTAGTTGGTCCTCTGAAGAGGCATTCAGCACCGGGTGGGAATGACATGGCTACTTCATAATCTCATTTCAAGACCCTCATTACTATTCTTTAATATGCAGCACACTGTAAAATATTTAGGAGAGCAAGTATTGGTATATGGGTGCATGATACCACTGTGTAATAGGTAAACGTTTGTCAGAAGAATTGAGAGAGACTTGTGTGAAGACTATTTTTGTGTTACTGAAATAAAAATTAACAAAAACGTTGATGTGGACGCCATCATATTGAAATGGGAAGAAGTTCCTGTTAAGCATATGAGCAAACAGATATTTCTGAGGCTAATAATTTACCAGTCAGGTTCTTCCTATTGTTCAGTTGTTAGAAAAGCCTGATTTAAAGTATAGGTTCTTCAATGGTGTTTGTGTTATAGAATCTTTAAACAGAAAGAGCTTTCAGCTCTTGTTTTCTCAAGGGTGTCAAACCTGATACCTTTGCCCATTCAAGCATGCATTATCTGGTATTACTCAGTGGCTTGTAATTTATATGTTTCAGAGAAAGGATAATTTTTTTTCTGAAATATTCCTGTTTTCTTCCCTCCCCCCCAGCAAGTGAAACTGGGCAGTCCTGATTATGTTGACTGCAGTAGTGATGAAGCTACAGAAGACTTCATGAAAAGAATTGAGTGTTACAAGAATTCATATGAGACACTAGATGAAACTTTAGACAAGTGAGTGTCTACATAAAACTGGATGTTATATAATTTGTTTCCCCTCTGATTCTCAACACTGTGTAAGAAATGTTGGCTTAGTTCTCATTAGGGAAGTAAATTTGTTGCTGCTGCTGGTGGGACATCATGCAATTGAACATTCTTCTGTATAAAATAATCCCCTGTACATAGGGCACTAGGGCGCTACTCATACATAATGACAAACTATGATTAGTTTTTACAGGTAGAAGCCTTGGAAGTCCTTGGGCTTGTGGACTCCTGTGGTTTGTAATCTTGGACTGTGAGCAAGAGAACATATCACAGTTTCATTTATTGTATTTGTCCAACTCAAGTGTCACAGCACAACAGCATGCATCCACCTATGCTGTTCCAAAAATGTAAAGCTATGTGTAGAAATTCTTTGTTGAGTCCCCCAAATTTGTGTACACATTCTATTGATCCATTCCGTTGATGCCTAGGAGGAAAGTGGGGGCACTTTTTTGGGTTGCAGCAGTGGGAAAATGCTTGCTGCACGGTCCATGGATGATTGGATACATGCCATGTTGGGAAAGAGGAGTTCTTTAGTGTCTGAGCTGTGCACGGGGGGAGGAAGGAGAGCACAAATCCATGGATTTCCAAAGTTCATTCTTGAAAGAACAGTGATTTGCTGTTTATGTTTGAATGCAGCCTATGTATCAAAGTAAAGTTTTAGCTTAGCTTTCTTCTTGATATGCTAGTTTTCTGTGTGTAGTATTTCTTATATTCTGGATGAGTTTTCAGTCATATGAGCCTCCCCGCATCTGAAATTCTGTACTCTAAACACAGGTCTCCCCTCCCCCCTTGAAAATTAGGCTGTTGCCACTGCAGTATTCAGTAGCCGTACAAGTAGGTCAATACAAGTTACTAGGGCATTTGCCTAATTGAGTGAATTGTGGCACACTGATGTCCAGGAAAGAATAATACAACCTCAGGCACTCTTCCAGTTTACAAAAGCTTCCTAGCTTGTAGTCTGCCTTTGCTTGTTCACCAGAGGCAACCAGGAAAGTGTCTGTATACCATGCTGCTTTACTGCTGGAGGCCTCCATCTTAGTAGAAACAGTTTCTGACTTTTATTTTAAGTGTAAATGTGCACACAAATACATGTATGAAAGAACAGCTAAATTAACAGTTCAGCATAATCTCTTGCCAGTGAAAAAAGAAGCTTAAATGTCTGTTTTCAAACATATGACATTCACCTAATGTTGTGTCATGCTGAAACGGGAAAAAACTTCAGTTATTGTGATCTGCACAGACAGTTCAATGTGAAATGAAATGGATTATTGATTCTCTGTAACACACTCAATTTCTAGGAGGATGTACAGTTATCTCTTTAAGCAGAAAGTGACAGCCATGAGATGTGTGTGTTGTGTTATGGCTAAGACAGTGGTTCTCTGCAGAATATGTACATCTTAATATGCTGAGAATGTTGATGTTGTTTCCACCTCACGCTTCCTGTTTTTGAGTGTGTCAACACTCTATAACCAACTATCCAGATCCTTATGGACTGCATAGGTACCTTGTTAGTATGTCTGCTTCCATGAAGTTTGGAAAACTTGGGTTGGGAGCCAACATTAGTATAAATGATGACATATTAAATGCTGGCATCAGCTCTGAAGTGGCTTTTATTATAATGTATCTAGGGGTGGATACATTATCTAGGGGTGGGGAGCTGCGGTGGCTCAAGTGGTTAAGACGCTGAACTGCAGGCTGTGGAAGGTCAGTAGTTCAGCAGTTCAAGACCCAGGTGCCGCAAGACAGGGTGAGCTCCTGTCTCTAGTTCCAGCTCCTGCCAACCTAGCAGTTCGAAAGCAAGAAATTGCAAGTAGATAAATAGGTACCACTTCGGTGGGAAGGTAACAGCGTTCCGTGCGCCTTGGTGTTTAGTCATGCCGGCCACATGACCACGGAAACGTCTTCGGACAGCGCTGGCTCTTCGGCTTTGAAACGGAGATGAGCACCGCAACCCTAGAGTCGGATTCGACTGGCTTTCGAGCAAGGGAACCTTTACCTTTACCTTTTTATTTAGGGGTGGATCAAAACTAATTAAAAATGAAAAAGAGTGTTTAATTCTGAGTATAAGTGAAGTTTTAAAACATAAATTACTGTATTTATCGATAAAATTAATTGTGACTGTAGTACAAACAGACCTGCCCTTCTGTGAACTCTTAAAGCTAAATCATGACCATCTGTTGAGCAGACCAAGTTAAAATGCATCTTTCTATGTGTATGTTGTTGGGATTTTTTTAGTCATTAGGAAAAAAATATCTGGCTTCTTGGGTAAAGCATTATAAGTGATATCAATCCATCGGGTGCCAGATGGTGTCTTGCCGGGATAATCCACTCACCCCACATGGATGATTTAGTGCTCCTTTTGTGCTCTCTACCTGAGCTCTGTAGTGTGTAGTCAGTTTATTGTTTAGCTGTTTCCCTGGTGACAAAATTGTGTAGACATTTACTTTCCAGTTCTTACAGAAACAGTTAACTAACAGTACTATTCTAGACAGAGCTGCATCTTTCTAAGTTGCATCTGTTGTAGTCAGTGGGCTTATGAGGGCATTGACTCTGCCTAAAGTGACTCTACTTAGGATGGCACTGCAGGTAATATAGTATATAATATTTTGCTTGTGTAATGTTCCCCACTTATAGCCCAGTCCTTGGCTTGTCTACTTGGAAGCAAGTTCCCACTTTGTTCAGTAGGATTCGCTTCCAAGTGCCTAGCAGAGCAACCTTATTTTTTATGTAAGTGATCTTGATTAGTCTTCTTTTGAAACACTCCCTATAAGAATTTTGTGCAATTGCTATTTGCACTATCTTGAAAGCAGTGAGTTACATTTCAGAAAAGTACACAGAGAAAAGCTGTAAATAGGAAAGCTTTAGATGTTGTTTTGTGTAGTAAGCTTATAAACCTATATTAGGTTTTGCTTTTTGAAATAATTAGTGTGTGATCTGGCCAAAATGAAGCATTATCCTGTACTATTCTTTTTAATTCAAGAGCCAGTTTGGTGTAGTGGTTAAGTGCACAGACTCTAATCTGGGAGAACCAGGTTTGATTCCCCACTCCTCCACTTGCACCTGCTGGATGACCTTGGGCAAGCCATAGTTCTGGCACAGCTGTTCTTGAAAAAGAGCAATTTCTGTCAGAGCCTCTCAGCCTCACCTACCTCACAGGGTGTCTGTTGTGGGGAGGGGAAGGGAATGGAGTTTGTCAGCCGCTCTTAGGCTCCTTTGGGTAGTGAAGGGCGGGGTATAAATCCAATCTCTTCTCTCTCTCCCCCTCTAAATGAAACATGTGTTAGACTCTTCTACTGAAATTAATACTGTGTGCAAGAACTTAACTTTGGCTTGATGATGTCCTTGTTTGTTAGCATAGCAAAGACTGATATTGCATAGTTTTATTTATTACAAAATATTGGGCTTTACCTTTCAGTTTGATACATTTTTAGGGCCACTAACAAAAATCAATCACATTAAAATTAGTTTCTAATAATATAAATAAATTGAAAGAAAAGCAGCAACAGCAGGATAAACCCACACTGAACATTAAAATAAAATGATTTTTTTTAACCTGGTGCCTACAGATCAATAAAATTGACATTATGTCACCTGCTAAAGAACATAGCTCCCAGTATTTGAGGTATTGGGAGATGCGTGAATGGATCTTACTTTGTTCTTAAAAAAAGAAAGAAAGGAAAATAGCAGGTTGGGGCTGTAGTACCAGGATGAAGTGGGGAGAAGGTTTCATCTTCTGCTTTGCCTATCAGAGTCAACTGCTCTTTGCTGTTGTTAACTCTAGAAGCAAAAAAGCCAGGGCCCCATCCCGTGCACTGAACCAAATCAGAGCCCAACATAACTTCTGTGTCCCTTTTCAAAATCACTGGGGATGTCTGCCCCTGGCTCTCCTGTTGCCATGTGTGCTCAGGAACAGAGGAGCACACCAGTGTGCACTAGTGTGAATGAGGCCTGCTTCTGTTTGGGTCAAATTCGATCGGGGGCTCTTCAGCCATGTCTCACTTCTGTTCTACAGAAACCGTAGGTATAATTTTTAACATCTGGCATAAGGGAATCACACACACACATGCCAAAGGGACCTTTAAAAAAAATGTGGTGAGGCTCCGAAGCAGGTGTAAAAGGAAAATGGAGTTGAGAGTTTAGCAGAATAGTGTCTATTGAAAGTGAATGAGGTACATTACAGCACGGAATAGTAAAATGCCTGCAGTAGCCATATGTTCATCTTCATGGCTTCTGTGTAGTCCCACATGGAGACTGCACGTGCGCAGGCCAGAGGCTGAGAGGATTTTCACAAGTTTCTAAAGCTCTAGATGTGGAGAGCACTCTCCTTCCCCACCACAAATGGCTGGGAGTAGGGGAGCAGTCTCCTCCTCAGCCTTCTCTTTGCTGCTGTGAAGAGGGGATCTACTAGTTAGAGCTGCATCTTTTACCAGTGCTCCCTCTAAGCTGTGGAGTCTTGTGAGCAAAAATTCTACTTTTTGAGCTACTGGCATTAAAGCTGTGAGTGAGAGATTTGGCTGCTGCAGAAATTAGTTTACTCTGGAGCAGTGTTCCCTCTAAGCTGAGTTAGTGTGAGCTAGCTCACAGTTTTTTAGCCTCCATCTCACACATTTTTGTCTTCGCTCAGGAAGGATGGCTCCAGAGAAAACGGGTTTATGCAGTAGCCAAATTGCTCGCTCACAACTTTAATGGGAGTAGCTCACAAAGTAGAATTTTTGCTCACAAGACTCCATAGCTTAGAGGGAGAATTGCTCTGGAGCCATCCTTCCTGGGCTAAGACAAAAAATGTGTGAGCCGGAGGCTAAAAACCTGTGAGCTAGTTCACACTAACTCAACTTAGGGGGAACACTGGTTTACTGTGAGTTTTTCTTTGCTCCTTTATGGTTCTCTTTAAGAAAAGTGCCAACTGTGGCACAGAAATGGCTCAGTCAGATGAGCATGCTGCATACTTAATTTGTTTGGGGGAAGAGCACAGCACCAAGGCATGCAGAACTTTTCCAACAATTTACTCCCAACACCAGGCACGACAGGGCCTCCTGGCTCAAGGCTGCCTTATGGGAGAAAGTGCTGGGGACTCAGGCTCCTCAACGCGAAAAGTGCCCTCGGCTGAGGAACTACCTCGAACACCCATGATAGTGTCAGTGCCAAAATCATCTTCATCGGAGCCAGTTGGCAAGAAGGCCCCAAAACCCTCCCAGGCAAAGAGAAAAGTCAAACACCTCTCACCCAGATCTTGGCGTTTGCCGTCTATTTGAGGTTCGCCACCTTGCCACCAGTCAGCCTCTCCCCCTTCAGAGCTGTTCTCCAGTGCGGAGCCTCCTGTTAAAAGTATTGCTTGTTACTCTTTTGCCTGGCCACCACCCCAAGGGTGTATGTTCATAGTGTTTTCTGACCTTAGATTGAGGGGGTGTGCATCTACACCTATCTTGATGATTGGCTTATTGTGGCTGATTTCGAGACCAATCTCCAGTCATCCTTGAGCACTGTCCTCCAGACCCTTTCAGAACTGTTACTCCTTGTTAATCTGGAGAAGTCCCGTCTTTCCCCCTGCAGTGGGTTGATTACATCAGGGCTGCCATGGACTTGAGGCTGCAAAAAGCCTTTTCACCAGGCAACAGGATCAGGGCCATTAAGTAATTGGTGAAGATTTTTCATTGGACCATTTTCAGAGAGCATTGCATATTCAGTCACTGTTAGGTCTGATGGCTGCGTCCACCTCCACGATGCCTCTTGCCAGGCTCAAGCTGAGGGATCTCCAGAATTGGTTTCTCAGAGAGTTTAGGGTCAATGTAGATTCCCAGTCCTGAAAACTTTCCATCCCTAGAAGATTTATTACGTCTTTATTTTGATGGTCTGATGAGGCTAACCTAGCTAAAGGGGTAGAATTTGGTTCCAAAGACTTTGACATCCCAATCTTTACAGATGTCTTGCTGTCAGGCTGGGGCACCCACTGTTGTGAATTCTCAGTGTTTGGGATATTGTCAAGGGACTCTTCCAAGCATATTAATTTGCTTGAAAGCAGAGCAAACAGATTTGCTCTAAAATCTTTTTCAGCGCTTCTGCAAGGAGATGCAATGAACAGCACAGCAGCCAAATATTACACAAACAAGTGGGAGGGCACGAGATTACTGTCCTTCTGTAAAGAAGTGGTCCTCGCATGACTTGAAGCCATCCATTTAGACACTTCCCTCCCAGTCGCTCATGTGGCTGGCATTCAGAATGACAGGGCAGATTGTTTAAGCAGACAATTGAGTCCAGACCATGAATGGGCACTCAACCTAACCTATCTACACCCAGTGTTTCAGAAGTGAGGTTTTCCCAAAGTGGACCTGTTCACATCCTTGTTGAACACCAAATGCTCTCAGTTCTGTTCAAGGGTGGTGTGGGCTCCTCAGTCCTTGGGAGATGCCTTCCAGATTCATTGGCAAGGGGAGTTTTTCTATGTGTTTCTCCCTTTCCCTATCCTGCACAAAGTCAACCAGAAGTTAAAGGTGGGGAAACCATGTGGTATCCTTGTGGCTCCCTTTTTGCCCAGAAGGCCTTGGTTTCCCACCATTTGGAGACTGGCCCAGGCAAGACACATAACCCTACCTCCAGAGCCCAATCTCCTCCAGCAAGGCAGCTGGTACACCACTATGTGAGGTCCCTGCATTAATTGCATAGTTGATCCGTTGAGACAGACCTATTCAGACACGGTTATCAAGGTTCTGCAAGCAGCTCTTAAACCTGCTACTTGCAAATCATACTTCTTAAAATGGGGAAAATTCTCATTCTGGGCATCCAAGTGGATTTTAGACACTTATTTCTGCCCCCTGCTGGCAGTGTTTGATTACCCGTTGACACTGAGGGACAGGGGATTACCAGTCTCCTCCATTAAAGTATACCTAGCAGTTATCCCTGCCAACCACAACAAAGTGGATGGCTGTGCTGCTTTCTCTGCCTCCCCAATCCAAGAGGGCTTTTCAATCTATTTCCTCCTACCACTGCTGCAACCCCACAATGAAGTTTGACTTTAGTTTTATTAGCCCTGATGGGGAAGCCATTTGAACCTTTGGCGATGGCTGACATCACGCTGGTGTCATACAAAATGGCATTTCTAGTCAGGATCATGTCAGCTCATAGAGTTAGCGAGCTAGAGGCACTTAGGTGTGATCCCCATTCACCAGATTTCATAATGATAGAGTGGTCCCTAGTCCTAGTCTTTCCTTCTTGCCCAAAGGCGTATCTCAGTTCCATGTTAACCAGGTCATTTTCTTACCAGTATTTTTTCCCTTCCCTGTCGTCCCCTGCCGAACAGCCTCTGCACACTCTGGATGTTAGGAAGTGTCTTTTATTTTATTTGGAATGCACCAAAGATTTCCACATAGGCAAATCTTTATTCTTTTGGGGAGCACAATGAGTAAAGGGCAGCCATACAGTCAATATCTAAGTGGGTGGTTTCAGCCATCAGCATGATGTATAGAGTTAGGGAGGGATCCTGCCGTCTTCCACTCAAGGCACACTCTTCCAGGGCACAAGCGTCATCAGTGGCCTTCACCGGCAATGTCTCCATATCAGACATTTGCAAGGCAGCAACCTGGTCTAGCCCTTCCACGTTCTTGAAGCAATAGGCGTTCAGTGTGGACTCCAGGAGGGAAGTGTCTGTGGGAAGAGCAGTGCTGCAGTCACTAGTCCGTTGATCATCCCACCCCCTCAGTAAGCCAGCTTGATACTCTCCCATATGGGACTGCATAGAAGCCTCAACGACAAAAACATAGTTGCGCTTACTTGTAACTGATGTTCGGCAAGTGATCTTCTGTACAGGCACACATCCCTCCCCCCTTTCCCCTCTGTGGGCTGCTCAGTGTAGCTCTGGATACTCACAGTGGCAGTAGGAAGACAGAGGAGGAGACTGCTCCCCCGCTCCTGTTCATGTGCCATATCGGGCAAGAGCAGCCGTCTCTGGATGGGAGTAGGCACATTCTTCACATCTAGAGCTCTAGAAACTAGTGAATATCCTCTCTGCAGCTGGTCTGTGCATGCGCAGTCCCCATGCATGCCTTCACAGAAGGCCACTTGACGAACATCAGTTACAGGTAAATGCAGTTAGGTTTATTCCCAAAGCCCACAAAAATCCTTGTGCAGTGTAATCCTTGGATAATGGAAAGGAAGAGAAGAAAGGGCAGCAGAGAGATACATTACTTAACGATTTGTAAAATGAACCCAAGATTGCATATAATTCTTATAAGCAAGTTGTTCTCTTTTCATCAGGGATCTTTCTTATATTAAAATCATGGACGTTGGAAGGAGTTACCTTGTGAACCGAGTAATGGACCACATCCAAAGTCGGATTGTTTACTACCTCATGAATATCCACGTAACTCCTCGTTCCATCTACCTCTGTCGGCATGGAGAAAGTGAACTAAATCTGAAGGGAAGGATAGGAGGAGACACAGGGTTGTCTCGCAGAGGAAAAGAGGTATGTGCCGTTTGGCTAATATAGTTATACTTTTTCCTTATCTTTGATAATGCTACAACTAGACTTAAGGTTGAACTTTAACACTTAAATCTGTATTGCTTTTGCCTACCTTCTGAGAATGAAGATAGCCGATTCTTTGTTGATGAGAAACTGGAGTAGGCAATATAAAGTCTCTCATGTGTGATTCTCATTTCAAATGCCATCAGAATTGTTTTGTTCAAGTCATACACTCATTCTTTGTGAAAGACCTCATTATCTTGTAGTGGAAGAATAGGACCTGTTGGCATATCTAACTTGTGTGTGGTTCATTAGCCGTAATTTCCTCATGAAATTTTAATGTGCTTTGCAGTTTGCCAAGAGCCTTGCACAGTTTATTAATGAACAAAACATCAAAGACCTGAAAGTATGGACAAGCCAGATGAAAAGGACCATTCAGACTGCAGAGGCATTGGGAGTGCCTTACGAGCAATGGAAAGTTTTAAATGAAATAGATGCAGTAAGATGTTCCATTTCTCTCTCTCTTGATCCCATCTAAATGATTGTTGTTTCTTATGGTGGAATGAGAATGCAACTAGAGGAGTTTGTTTCTGTTATACTGTACGTCTGCAAAGCTTATCTTCTGCCCTTTACATTTGTATAGAATTTAGTTAACACTCATGGTTCAACAAATGCTAGAAAACAGCAATTCTTTAGGTACTTTCACGTTGTGGCAAATCAGCAGCAACAGAGTAACAAAAAGGTCTAGAGACTTTTCTTAGAGAGCCATTGGAGATGTGGACTCTGCTCTGGAGTACTGGGTTCGATCATGGAACCTGCTGGGTGACCTTGTGCCAGTCACAGTTATCTCAGAACTCTCTCAGCCCCACCCACCTCACAAGGTGCCTGTTGTGCGGAGAGGAAGGGAAGGTGATTGTAAGCCACTTTGAGACTCTTTGGTTAGAGAAAAGCAGAGCATAAAAAACAGCTTTTCTTCTTCAAGTCTTAAAAAAATGAAATCTAGGAATTCAGAGCAAGTAGTAGGTACATCATTTCAGTAATATATCCATTACTGATTGATTGATTTAAAATATTTGTATCATGCTTTTCCCCCAAAGAACTCTGGTATGGGGGGTGAGGTATGGGGAGGGGTGAGGAAAATGGTGTTAATGTGGGCATAACTTGGAAAAAAATATGCACCTTGCTATTCACATAGTGTGGAAACATACTTTATTTTTCAACCAGATTTGGGGTAATCATAGCAAAGCCAGGACATAAGCAACCCACTCCACTTTGGACAGCAAACCTGAGCAAAACCCTTGTATCGAAGCAACCTTTATCTTACCTTGCCACACATATTTTGTGAATTTGTATGATCTTGTAAATGAGTAATCCCAATTTCCATGAGCATACTTAAGAAATATTTATTAGCCCAAGTCCTGAAATAACATTGTACTGGTACCTTGGAAGGGTAGGGTGGACTTCATGGTTTTCTTAGTCAGTAAGCTGCACTCGCTCTCTTATGTTTTCTTTGGGTTTTTTTAGGGAGTCTGTGAAGAAATGACATACGAAGAAATTCAAGAAAATTATCCATTAGAATTTGCTTTGAGAGACCAGGATAAATACAGATACAGATATCCTAAAGGAGAAGTATGTTTACTTCATTATGTTTTTCTCCCTGTAAGATAAGAATGTAAAAATCCTGATTAGCAAATGAGGATACTAGGTAGAAAGGTGAAAACTGGAAACAAAGCCTTTTTGCAATTTTTTATCTTATAAACTCACTAAAACAGATTCTCATTTGTGTAGAGAATATAACTTTCTGGATTTAAATCCTGGGTAAGCTTGAGTGCCTGTCAACCATTTTTTGGAATAACATGATTGCTGTGGGGCAGGGGAGTGATCTCCTGCAGGTGGCAATATCAAGCCATTAAGTTGGAGCCATCATTTATTAGACAGATGGCCTGACCTTTTTGTCCTAGTATTAGAATTCAAGTGTTAATAATAAGCACTGATTAAAACATCTGTTACAATATTTATATAATGGTGCGATGGTGCACACCTTGCCATTAGATGAGTGCTCTTCCTCTCTTGAGTTGACCATGTGGACATCATGCTGAGGACAGTGCTGGAATACATATGGCTGTTATTTATTGTACACATGAGCAAGCCCTGTCCTAATGGCTGTTTGGTAATGCGGAAAGCGTTCTCACAATGTTTGCTAAGCTTTCAGAGGGAGATGTGTGTTTTTTTGTTTGTTTCCATGATTGATTAAGTCATTTTGTTGGTGCACAATTCACGTGTTCCTAAGAGCAGCAAAGATACACATACACCTCAGTCTAGAGTGTAAAGGACAGCTAGTACTCCCCAGAGCAGTTCTGCTCAGCTAACCTATCTCAGTCCACTCATTTAATCTCCTGCTAACCTATCCAGCCAACAAGTGCCATCTGCTATTCCTCCCTATGCCTTGAGAATTACTACATAAGACTCTGAAAAACCATAGAAGTATTTCAGTTGTTCCCAAAACCATCAACAAGAAAGCATACCTATTTATTCTTAACAGAAAAATGTAGCTTCATAGATTGCCTTACCATTTACTACATTTTGGAAAAAAGGGGCTGTGCCAGAAATCTGAGCAGCCCGTGAATCCTGAAAATATACCAGGAAAGCTATAGAAAGATTGTAGCAGCATCTACCCATTATCTTCTTCACCCCATGTCTTGGGGTGATAGAGAAAGATAGTAAATACATACAAATACTGGGTGATTTCCCATAAGCGCTGCTCCGCACTCACTCCTCCCTTTTGCCCTGATGGTACGTGTCAATTTCACACAATCTGCTGCATGGCCGCATTTTGCCCCACAGCTTCGCAGGATTTTCCCTGCATCTACTCAATCCAGCTTGTGTGAAATTGACACGTACCATCGGGCCAAAGAGAAGAGTGAGCGCGGAGCAGCACTTGTGGGAAATCACCCACTGTCTCTGCGTGTGTGCAAGCAAAGTGGTCTGTGTATATGTGAGAAAGGGGGAGGATGCTAGTCATGTGCGTATTATGTGTTATCCGATATGTAAGATCATATCCTGTCATATAGTTGTCATGAGTGGCATGTATCTAAACCCACGATTCCTCCAGTGGAATGGCATTTCTGTTTGAGGAAGAGGAGGTAGCGATTCCTACCAGTTCTCCCTTCCCACTGCAGACCCACCCCCTCTTTTGTTGCCTATGCTGTTCCAGAGGGTCTTCTGACCTCACAAACAAAATTTCAGGGATCTCAGCGGGGTGCAGCACAAAGGGAAAGTCCACAGATGTTTAGATAACACGTTAGCAATCCCCACTTAACCCACAGGCAAATGTAAAAAGGATTTTTCTTTAAAAAAGTATCCATTAAGCCCTGTCTTACCTTGAAGCCCTGTCTTACCTTATCCATTAAGCCCTGTCTTACCTTGAAGTGCTTACAGTTGCATAGTTTTTGATGACTGATTCTTCGAGTCGCTTCTGATGTGTGGTGGTTTTTCCAGTCCTACGAAGATCTTGTTCAAAGATTGGAACCAGTAATTATGGAATTGGAAAGGCAGGAAAATGTGCTTGTAATCTGTCACCAAGCCGTTATGCGCTGTCTGCTCGCTTACTTTCTGGACAAGCCTGCAGGTAAGAACCTTTGTGCAGACTATAATGGAAATTTTTTCACCTTTGCCCATCAGCAGTTTCTGTGCAGATGATGAATTCTTCCTAGTGACTCATTGGTCGAAAGTCACAAATTGGGGTTCCACAAGGGCACAGTCGTATGCCCCATGTTATTCAACCTCTACGTAAAACCTTTAGGAGCTTTGAAATTGGATGTTATCAGTGTGCACATGATGCCCAGCTCTATATCTCTCTAGCCATATCCCCTGCTGATGCGGTAGAGGTCTTGGGCAACTGCCTGATTACTGTGATTAAATGCTTGAAACAAAATGCTTGAAACAAACTCAGCTGCAAAACAGACCGGATGGTAGTGATTCTGGTTAGAAGAGCAGGGATCTTGAAGGACATTGTGTTTCCTTCTTTCAATGTCAGCTAACCCTTACTGAGTCAATTAAGAGCTTGGGGTTATACTGAATTCAGCATTGCTTCTGGAGAAGCAAGTTAATGCAGCCCCCAGCTCTCTCTAGCCCTACTTTGACATGGCCAGTCTGGCCACTTGGATCCACACCACAGTAACATCAAGACTACACTAATGCAGTGCACTCTACATAGGTCTCCCCTCAGTTATTATCAGGAGCTAGGTGACGCATGCATATTACACCAATTCTGCAGCCATTCCAGTTATTGGGCTTAATTCAAGGTATTGGCTATCATCTACAAAGCCCTTCCTAGCCCTGGTTCCTCATATCTGCAGGACTGCCCCCCCCCCATGCTAGGCCATGACAGCTTTGTAGGGCCTTCTGCAGGTGTCATCCTGCAAACGGATAAAATCAACAAATGCCTGTACGTGTACATTTTATAAAGAAATTTGGCTTTATAAATGATGGGATGGCCTGACTGATGAAGGTAGGAAGGCTCCCACTCTCCTGGCTTTTTGCAAACTATGCAAAACTGAATTATTCAGAAAGGCTTTTTTGCACAGGTATTAAAGCTGTACTATAACAAAATTGTTTAGAAAGAAGCTTTGGTAACAGGATAGGGTCTGTGCTCTATACTTATGTGTACTGTCTGTTGCTGTAAGCATACTCTTACTCTGCAATTTCTGCATCATGTAACGTCATAGTTAAATGCTTTTGCTTGTTTCAGCTGTTCCCCCCCCCAGATTTCTGCTTCTTTTCAATGCAACCCTATTGTATTGATAATTGGATGTCGCATCCTGTTGATTGTATTGACTTCCACTGTGTAATCCGCTTTGCGTCTCAGTAAGAAAGACAGACTATAAATAATAATAACATAAATAAATAATTCTATAGGTGCAAAGCAAGTGGTGCTTTTTAGGGAATGCACACAGCTTTTGATTCTTTTGGGGCAGTAGACTTTTTAATTACCGTTACTTGGCAGAGGAGGCTCATTTGTGTAGTTAACACACAATTTTATTTTACCTTTTCCCCTTTTAGAACAACTGCCTTATCTCAAGTGCCCATTGCATACTGTCTTAAAGCTAACCCCAGTGGCTTATGGTAAGCGATTCAAAATTTACCCTGTAAAAGTACTCAGATCTCTTCCATTGACTTCTAATGTGAGTTAGCCAAGCTGCCAATTACTGTTATTTGCACCATGTGACAGTGTTGTTTGTCTGTAAAAATTAAAGTGGAATTGGTTATGTCCGTGCCATAGTTCATATCTGTTTTTCTTTGTCACAGCATCGTATTTGTTCATGCTGTCCTGTAGCATTTAGGATGGGTCACACTAAGCATTTGAATTAATAAAAATATAGTTCATATTCCATAGATACATCGGTATATTATCAGTCATGTCACAACTTCAAATATTACCACATGGCATGTTTTAGTCTAATTAAGCATCTTTTCCCATTTATTTCATCACGTCTGTGGACTAAACTAAAACTTCAGAAATGAAATATGGTTGGAAGATGTCATGTTGAAGGTGCCCCTCCTTCCTTTTGATGCCTAGTAGGATCAAAGATTCTGCATAACTGAGAAGTTTGCATCATGGCTAAAATGAAAGGATTGTAGTAGACATCCTGTTGTTATTCTGTAAGGCCGTGTGTTCTGAAGGCCAAAAAACCCAGATTTTTTCCTCTTAAAGTCCAGTATTAATCATAAATTGCAAAGCAAGTTGTTTTTGAGTGGCTTGGTTTTTAAGGGATACTTTTACATATACTTAATGTGTTCAGGCATTTGACTATGGTTATAATCATGGAATCATAGAATCACAGAGTCAGAAGGGACCATACAGGCCATCTAGTCCAACCCCCTGCTCAATGCAGGATCAGCCTAGAGCATCCCTGACAAGTGTTTGTTCAGCCACTGCTTAAAGACAGGCCACAGAGGGGGAGCTCACCACCTCCCTAGGCAGCTGATTCCACTGTTGCACAACTCTTTCTGTAAAAACGTTTTCCCTAATATCCAGCTGGTACCTTCCCGCCCTTAATTTAAGCCCATTCTTGCGAGTCCTATCCTCTGCTGCCAACAGGAACAGCTCCCCTGCCCTCCTCTAAGTGACAGCCCTTCAAATACTTAAAGAGAGCGATCATGTCCCCCCTCAACCTCCGCCAGACTAAACATTCTCAAATCCCTCAGCCTTTCCTCATAGGGTTTAGGCCCCCGATCCAGGCCCCTGATCATCCTTGTCGCTCTCCTCTGCACACGCTCCATTCTGTCCACATCCTTTTTGAAATGAGGCCTCCAGAACTGCACAGAATACTCCAGGTGAGGCCTGACCAATGCAGTGTACCGCGGGACTATCACGTCTTGCAATTTGTATGTAGTCACATCAACAATATTAACTTTCTATCCTTCAGTATGTGCTGACATTGTATTTTCCGATTTACAACTATGTAAACTTTAAAGTGCTTAAGATGCTGAACTGCAGGCTGGAAGGTTGGTAGTTCAGCAGTTCGAGACCCGAGTTGCCACATGACGGAGTAAGCTCCTGTCTCTGGTTCCAGCTCCTGCCAACCTAGCATTTCGAAAGCAAGAAATTGCAAGTAGATAAATAGCAAGTAGATAAATAGATAAAAACTTCGGTGGGAAGGTAACAGCGTTCCGTGCACCTCGGCGTTTAGTCATGCTGGCCACATGACCATGGAAATGTCTTCGGACAGCACTGGCTCTTCGGCTTGGAAACGGAGATGAGCACCACAACCCTAGAGTCGGATTCGACTGGCTTTCGAGCAAGGGAAACCTTTACCTTTTACTTTTACCTAAACTTTAAAGTAAAAGTAGGAGTATGAAGAAAACCTCATAGGTTATGTATTAAGAACATAAAAAGAGCCCTGCTGGATCAGACCAGTGGTCTTACACGGTGGCCAGCCAGTTAGTCTGGATGGCCAATAATAGGGCATAGATGCTGAGGCCTTCCCCTGATGTTGCCTCCTGGCTCTGGAATTCAGAGGATTAGCGCCTCTGAATGTGGAGGTTCTCCTCAGTCACCATGGCTAAGTAGCCATTGATAGAAATCCTCCAGTAATCTTATCTAATCCCCGTTTGAATCTTTTTATTCCTGTGGCCATCACTACATCCTCTGGCAGCAAATTCCACATTTTAATCACTCTCTGTGTAAAGAAGTATTTCCTTTTGTCCATCCTGAATCTACTGCCCATCAGTTTCATTTTGGGAGACGGAGAAAAATTTATCTTTGCCAACTTTCTCCACCCCGTGCATAATTTGATAAAGATCTATCGTGATCCCCCCCTTAGTTGTCTCTTTTCTAAACTGAAAAATCCCAAACTTTTCAGCGTTTCCGCATATGGAAGGTGGTCCAACCCCCTAATCATCTTGGTTGCCCTCCTCTTAACTTTTTCCAGCTCTGCAATGTCCCTTTTGAGATACAGTGACCAGTACATCAAGTAAAGTAACTGTATATTAAGTATCTTGGGGGCTGAAAACTGTGAGCTAGCTCACACTAACTCAGCTTAGAGGGAACACTGCTTGTGACCTATCCCGTGTCTATGAGAAAGGACCATATTATGAGTGAATTCAGCTATTGGACACCTTCTAATGTTACTACAGTGGCATGGAAGCTACTTCAGCATGAGCCCTTCTCAATGCTTTCAGAGTTATATGGGGAGAAATCCTATTGTCCCACATTACTTGTCTCTTCTACCGATCCTGAAATAGAGTGGAAAAGATGCCCTACTGTAACTCCCATGCTGCTATGGTAACATAGCATGTGGCCTTTAGACAAATGAATTACCATGTAGTTGGAAAGATCCTGATTTATCTGGAGTGCGTTAATCACCACTTTTCCTGTGTATCTTCACTCTTAATGGAGATGGAAATGAGAGTTGGTCTTTTATAGTGGGTGTCTGTTGAAATGAAGTACCTAAAATGTTGATTTCTGTCTGCAGGTTGCAAGTTGGAATCTATATTTCTGAATGTTGAAGCTGTAAATACTCACAGAGACAAACCACAGGTAGGACTCCCTTGCCCTTGCAAACATTCATTTTGAATGCTACAGGGGGAAACCAGGGGTGGAGAGGATTAGAAGCTGAAAAGAGATGGTGGGGGAAAAGGCTAAGTACCCCTTCTTCCACCACCTCTGCTTCTCCATTTCCCATCACCTTCTTCCAAAGCTTCTTTTGGTATGTTGGGGGCAGGGGATGTTGCAGTGTGGGCATGTATGTGTAACATCTCGTTTGAGCCTTAAAGTAAGATGTCGATAACAATAAAATATAGGGCTGTTAAAATACTTTAAGTTTTTTTTAGTGTGAATAATAAATAGTTTCATATTTGCTGTATAAATAGTAAGGATTTAAGCTGGGTTGTAAGCTTCCCCTGTAAGCTTCTTACTGCTTATTTTGGGTGTGTCAGTTTCTAATCTTTTTGCCTTTTGCTTTCATCACTTTCTCTTACCCATATTTCCAGATCACCCCCTCTGTTTCTTGCCCACTTGAGTCATTACTGCCAATAGCCCGATTGCTGCCAAACCATATTGTTGCTTCTCAGAAAAGTTAGCTACATGTCAAACTGGATTCGAGTTGTTTGGGGAGATCCATTTTTTCTTTGTTTTCTGAAATACATATCGAGCTCTTCATTTTGGAAAGACATCCGTGAGATGTTTCCCCAGTATGCTTCCAAGTTTGTTTCTTTAAAACATTGTATACTGCATTTCTACTCAGCTTAGGGTCCTCAGGGGGCTGAATAATCCAAAACATTAAAACCAGCTTTTAAAACACAAAGAACCACACTTAAAATCTGGCTGACTCCTTGGGAAGACGCCCATGTGGTATGTCTTCCCACTGGCTGTCATATTGCCAATATAATGTATACATATATTGTATGTATACTCTCATCTGTTAGATGAGGAGGCAGAACTTGTTGGTTTAGCAGTATGGATGTAGCTGTAGAATGGGATTAGAGTGCCCCAATAAGGCCATATTTCATAGCAGCTTTTTATGGTTTTTTAAAGATGCCTTTGTCTAGCAAATACATGTTAGGAAATTGAACTACATGCTTCTGACTCTGCTAGAGATGTCAGTTGTTCATATATAAGATCACTTTGCTTTTGTTGCCTTTCCATAGTTGAATCGAGCAGCCTTTATAGTAGTAGTACAACCAATATTGCCAGTCAGTAGCTTAGAAGGTACTCTGAGTAATTTTGTGCCCAATAATGTATGCCTCCATACATTTCAGTATGTGCTAAACTTCAGCCCAAGTAATAATGGTAAAATGGAAAGATTGTTTGTACAGGATGAAAACCTGATACAGTGCTTGATGTTCCATATTTTGATCTAACCAATGATATTTCATAGCAGCCTTGAGCAGTTTTTTAAAAGACATGTCTGAAGAGGGGTTTGCATAAATTGATATGTTTATGACTACTGAGAGAGAAAATTATCCTACAAAACATTAAAAAACGTCATGAGAAAAGTGGTCTGGTACAACATTATTGTTTTGTATGGTTGAGGGGAAAACCACACACACAGTGTTTGACTAAATTGGAAGTTGTGGGAGGTAGAGGAGCTGCTTAGAAAGGAAGGATGCAGTGGATATTAAAGGTTCTGATGACAGTGCTCGGTGGAACAAAGCAAGGACTCTTATTCCTTGACAGTTTGTCATATTTGTGGCTTTGGTACTTGTGTTCTTGGAGTTATCATTTTGACAAATTGGAGGGTTTTTTTCTCTCTTCACAGTGAAGCCTTAACATAATGAGTGACATTTGAATGTGTTTGGTAAATAATTGAGACTCTTTTTTGAGAGCACAGTATATGGTTGAGGTTATGATTTTAATGGTGACAGCCTGTATCCATATGTCTCTTTTGTGAAGTGGTCTTGTTTTCCTTGTTTAG